TTGTTAGCTATAACATTACTGCATTAGATGATATGTTTTAATCAATTCATGACATAAAAATGATGCTATATCAACAGAGATGTTTAGCCTACAGTGGTAGGTAGCCACTGCTACAGCAAGCTAATACAGCATAATATTATTAGCTTAGCATAACGTCAGCCAGTTAGCCTTTTGGTCAGATAAGAAGTCCTTTGCTGTAATGCTGGTTAGCCATTTTATTCCTGTAGTTGATTATACTTGTTTTATTTTTTAAAAAAAAAATCACTGACACTTAAATTCATGACATTAAAATGATGTCAAATCCACAAGGATGTTTAGCCTAAAGTAGCTTAGATTTCAAGCTAGACAGCTAATGCTACAGCAGGCTAATATAGCAAACGGTTATTAGCTTAACCCAAAGGCAGCTACTTAGCCTTTAAGACAGACAATATAAATTGTTTTGCTGCTTGTTAGCGTGTTAGCTTTTTACTTCTTACTACCCGACCATCAAAAACACTTGTTTGAAATCTAGTAATTAATTTTGTGAGAGGCAAACTGGAGAGCATCCGTTTCTTCCATTAAAGAACTTCTTCATTTAAATCCGATGGGTCCCTTTCACAGGCCCAGAATAGCCCTGCCTTGATCTGCCTCAATTGTCATCCCGGGGCTCAGGGGCACTTCGGCGGCCAGTGCAGCGGCGAAGTCAGGGCTAATCCCTGGAAAAGGGGAGAATCACGGGAGAGGAGAAAAGCAACAATAACCAAGTCAAGCGTATAAAATGAAAGCGAAATCTCTATTATCACTCCCCGCAATTCCCAGCAAAGTGGTGAAAATCAGGGTTAGTTTGTGATTCGAGTCAGACGCGGAGGGAAGAATATAGGGGTCCCCACGGGTTGGGAGACTCACACGACGAAAAGGGCAATATTCTGGAGAAGAAGGGAAGAAGAAAGCCCCTCTCCCATCCCGACATAACCATTAAATGCAGTCTGACTTTATGTTGTATAGAGAGGGGGCGACTAGAAAGGAGGCACAGTTCTCCGATGAAAGAATGAGGTTTTTGGCGGATTAGGGACGGCCCGAAGGATGAAGAATAACTTCTGCATAACTTTACAGCTATTTTCTCTCCCCACGCCAAGAGCCAAGTTTAAGGCTCAACCGGTCTGAGTTAACCCCTTTGTGGTCGTCCACCCTCACCGGGTCGCAGTCGCTCATCGTGGAAACTGGAAATTAACTTCTGTGGTAACAGATTACAGGAGCAGGACCAAACAAATCGTTTCACAGACGCACCTTTTTGTGTTAAAGATAAAAAAGTAGACGCTCAAAGTTCCTAAAGTGGAAAAACTGCACTGAGTATGAATGTAATGTGCAGCTACAGAAGAAGCAGGCTGTGATTAACTCAACTAATGTGGAGAGTAATTCAATTATAACAGATCACAAATGTGTTAAAACTGCAATACCAGCTTGTGATTATTATTCTATTTATTCTGAGAATCTGATGCTTTCTTTCACTGCAGCACAACATCCAGAAATTATTTTTGACTTCTTGAAAATGATTTTAATTACTGCCAGAGCATTTTAGTGAAACGGGCCTACAGTACATACAAAAACCCAACAACAATAAGAAAAGGTAAAAAGATGGCAAAATGATATGATAGAATAATATCACATTAAAAAGCATTTAAACTAAAACTACGGCACATTGCTGTCCGAAAAAAATCTGTTAAAACCTGAGATAAAACATCTGTATGCTAACACAACAGCTGCTACGAACCCGGTGTGTCGCCGTTATTTAACCGATAGCGGTTGTCTTTCTAAAGTTATAGCTTTATTATAACTTTATTGTTATTGATATTTAAATTATTCACATGAAAATAACACCAATAACCCAGACATTAGTGAA